TATGAGCCCAACAACCAGACAAAGAAACCACCCAAAAAGCGACCAGCAAATAGCTGACCACTGGAGGGGCAGGATCCAGTGTACTACGAAACTAGCTACCCTATTTATACTGTGAGCTTATCTACAGGTCCCTAATATGGTTACATGAAGTTAAATAGCCAAACGACAAAATAATAGATAAATGTACAAAGACTTGGTCGAAAGTAGCAGTAATGCTGCACCAAAATTGTGTTCCATGTGCTCCCTGCACAATGTCCCATGTGCTCCTGTGCAGCATTCCATGCGCTCCTTGCATAGCCTCGACTATCAAGAATCTATTTTTAGAATCTTGGATTATCTCGAGCCCGACACAGAATGTTCTAGAGCCAGTGCTTCGTTCCGAATATCTCCGATATTTAGAGCCTTCCAGAAGCATTCGGAGATGGTGGCTATGCCTCCAATGACAGAACATGTCAACAATGAAACAATGTGCCCACAATGCACACAACGACTCTGCCAATGCAATTTAACTTGCAACTGGTGTTCCCTCGGATCGCCCATAGTCTTAGATGGATAGTATTTGATACCCTTGTTCGGAATACATGCAGATGAACTCCAATTCGATCATAGAATGGTTGAGTAAATCATTAGCTAAAGAATTAGTGCTTTCTCGAAATCTGATTCATAGTGGAATCATCATCAAAGTAAAGCTCCGCAACTGCAGCACATGTGTGGCTTCCTAGCTAGCTGCTCGGGTCTCGCACCAGCCCTCATTTGGTGATGATATAGATATAGCAGTTTCTTTAGCTAAAGGTATACAGCACTAGTAAAATTAGACAATTTCACAGCTGGCCATATAGCCTACTTATCATCGAGCTCGTACCCTATCGGATATTCCAATAGAGTAGAGATTAGACGAGGATGCCGTGTCGAGGCGTAAGGGTCCTGGACTAGATATTCGTAAGATTCAGTGAGATTCATAAAGGTTTAGGAGCAAATAGGTGTCGCCTAATGCGCAGTGCCTGATCTCAGAGTATCTCTACGAGTATAGGCTTGGGCACGGAGGCAATGGTTTGTGATAAAAGAGTAAGATGATATTACATAATACCGAGCACATGATTTGTAGCTAAAGAGTAACTAAATGGTAAAACGGTACCTTACAATAGGCACCCTGCCTTCACCCAGAAGGCACTCGAGGTGTACTGCATGAGACATGACAGGAAGCAAGTCCACCTCGATGGGTCCACACCAGGTCATGAAAAACTGGACCTTGCACAGGTGCAGGCAGAGTGTAGGGTCTTTTGCAAGGCATGCGGCAAACTGTGTTGCACACCATTGGTGCATAAGCACAGGATAGCCATACAGGTGTGGCAGGGCGAGATGCTGTGGTTGAGTTAATTCTAATCTCCCCGTGAGTTGACAGACGAACGAAGAAGGTCTTGGACATGGAGAGAAAGGGCAGACACTTGGAATTGGATGTTTCATTGGGTTTGTTGTCTACCACGACCATTGCGAAAAAGAGTATGTGTGACCAGATGCAGTCAACAACGTCCTGAGATACCGACTCCAATGGACGGAATGAAGGATCACACGCCGAGGTGGGATGATCATCCACGAACATTGCAATTGAGCTAGGGAGAGATAAATAGACTTGTAGCAACCAGAAATGCCGGCCTACTTTTGCCCCCTGGTCCAAACCAAAAGCGAAGTAGCTTGCGGTCCCATTTGGGTCAGTCGGTATTTGGTAGTCCAGACCTCTATCCTCTGCAAAGCTGTATTTGGGAGAAGCTTGCGTAAGAACCCAGGGATGGTTGGGAATGACACAATCTGTATGGTTGGACTGAGACAGAGAGTTTTGAAGAAGGAACTGGACAGGTCTTTATCAGGAAACATGATCATTGTCTGCCGCCGATGAGTTTTAGTGGAAGAACAGAGGCACAATACGTACAATGTTGGTCCACTTTGCACCCACGCATGTCTTAATTGTACGAGTTAATTGGTCCAAGGAGGTGTTTAGAAAGATACCATGGTGTATGGTGTCAAAGAGGATGAGATGGGTCGGATTAATGAGAGGGAGTCCCCATGCCAGGCCTGTGGTCGAATCAGCAGAGTAGATTATGAGAGACAGGAAAATGCCGGTAACGTTCGGGACAGATTTGAGGATGGTGAGCATGTGCTTCTCAAACCCCCCTCAATGCGGAGCTTTCTGACGAATCGGCCTAGGTCCAGGTTCCCCCGGAGGGCGGTTTCAAGTCTTCGGGCTTGCGCCTTGGAGCACAGAACCACAACGTGATAGAGTAACGGGGTTCACACCTGAAGCCATGATTTGCAAACCAGTAGGAAAGCAGATGATGACTCTCCATTGGATGTGAAAGGCGAAACAAGGCAAATGCTTGAAAAATCGTCCTCCTGGACCTGGAGCACTGGAGAGAGAATTTCGGATACTATCTCGTCAGGGAAGCTCAGAGCTGGCATGCTTCTGAGATTTGACGTATTCAGACTGATTAGCTGCAAGAAAGAATGCAGATGGTGCTTGGATGGTGTTGCGATGCAATGAATCTTGGAGAATGATGGATGAAGAGTTGTGTTTTTTAAATGGCTATGCCAAACTTGTTACAAGTTTTCAAGCACGTGAAATCTGAATGTGTTTGAATGTGCGCAAATAGTACCATACATTGGGCCATGAGCTCGGTTTGTGAGGTATGAGGTAGGTATTAACTCAAATCTAGGAGGAGCTAGATAATGGGGACAGTCAGAGTAGACGATTAAGCAAGCGATTAAGATATGATTATTGACTTTATTTCGCATCATAATTGTGTGATAATCACAGTTTATCCTGACCGTCCCTTTTTTGCGATTCAGATGTGCTTCACTGCATGCGATTATTCAGTAATAATATGATTGCACTTTATTTGATCTTAATCGCGTCTGAATTGCAAACATAATCGTGTCAAAGCGCCTCCAGAGGCGCTTCAGCGATTCAAAGGTGATTAAGCATTCAAGTGATTATCCCACACTTTAAATAAATCTTAATCGCTTTCAAATTGCTCGACTTAATCGCTCCTTAATCGTCTTCTCTGACTGTCCCTAATAATAGAAGATCTCAGTAGGCATATGCAAGCCAACTTAATATATTAATACCTAGATAATAATAGAAGCTAGGTACAGTGAGCATAGTGTATGAATATAACGAGAGGACTTACATATCAGTAGGCATATGCAAGCCAACTGAGATGTACACGTAAACTAGGAAAATTTCTATGGTACGGTAAATAATTATGTAATTGTCCATTAACTACGAATAGAAATAAGTCCGTATAGAGACACGTCTAGCTTGTTACCTCAATATCAAGGTGTAGGCAGGATTAAGTAATTGGGTAAATTCTCAACAGCTCCAAAAGCTTCCCCGATTTGTTTGTAACGCTCCGACAATGACAGGGTCAAATAATTCCCACATATAATTATTTAACTGAAGAACTTATTTCTGAAATTTCATCCCAAGGGTAACCACGACACCGACCATATCTTGGAAAATTTGCCCCGTTGGCATGAACCCTCGCTTGGTAGAATTAAGCCGAAACTCACAGTCTGCCAGAAAATCTGGATCACCGTTAACATTTGAAAGGCCATGATCGGGTTTCATTTCCTTTTGCTCCTTTTTTGGCTCGTCTTTCGTTGTGTAGTGTTGAACAGATGCCAATGCAGGGTTTGGTAGGATGTTGGAAACCCACAGTGAAGTACATATGGATTTCAAACAGAAGTTCAACTCATAAAAATCCACGTCTAACAGGAATAAAGCGTCGGTGGGGTATTGCAAATCCACAGACCTGCACTGGAAGCGCTCCATCCGCCCAGCAGCATCGAACATATCGCCTTTGTCTTGGTGGGACAGAAGGAGTGGGTTGACTTGGACATGATGCGCTGCTTTCTCGCGTTTGCTGTGAAATCCTTGCCCAAGATTCAGCGGGTGGACATTGACCTAGTCCGTGTTGACGGGGATGCACCAGTTCGCGGGGGAACATACGTATTTCGGAAACCCAATACCGCGGCTGATTCGACGGCGGTGCTTCAATATAAATTTGCGCCCAGCGTGGCCATAAGGTCGCCCTACTACAATCGTAATGGTATCCCATAATTGCTGGGTGTCCTTCGTACGATGCCCCAAGCCACATCTTAGTCATGTATCTATAGCTATGTACCTCTATGCATGAGCTATGTGACTGCCGGACTGCTCATGTTCAGACTACGACCTTCACAACGATAGTTGCAAAGTCAGTTTTGGGAAAGCATCATCATATAAATGCCCAGAATCCCCTCGTATGCATCCGCGCTTCATAGGAATCAAGTGTCGGTGGGATGTTGGAAACCCACAGCCTATCAATGTAAAGTCTGCAATAGACAATATTTGAAGGCTGAGATCGGGGTTCGACTCCCCGCCGACGCGTGTTATTGTGGTGATGGTTTTGCTTCGCTTTTTCGATGGTTCTTCTTTCGTTTGCAAGTTGTACAACTGTGCCATCGCCGAAAGATGACTACGAACGACGAAATATACAAAGAACCAATTGGGACGGGTGTTGGAAACTCACAGTCAGTTCGCAGCAAAGTATGGAAGGACCAGAACTTCACCTCGTACTTAAAAGTCCGCGCTTGGCAGGAAATAAGCGTCGGTGGGGTTGGAAACTCACAGCCTATCAATGTAAACTCTGCGTCGTGCATATTTGAAGGCTGAAAACGGGGTTCGACTCCCGTCGATGCCTGTTGCTTGCGTACACATTTTACTTGCGGCCCAGAATCTTTTCCTTCGCCCATTTTAATGGCCGTCCAAGAAGTCGGACTCGTACAACTCCACGTCGATTAGTATCGGAACCCGATACATGACAGCGACTGGTTATTCACCGTTTTTTCTCCTTTTATTGTTCGCTTCGTCAGAAGATAGACTGCGAACTATAAATCAATTCTGGAATCAGGGTGTAGCAACGTATGAGAGTTCGCCTTGTACAAGTCCGCCCGGCAGGAAATAAGCGTCGGTGGGGTATTGGAAACCCATAGTCTGACAGTTCTGCTGTCCCAACTGATTGAAAGACCGAGTTCGGGGTTCGACTCCCCGCCGATGCATAACTTAGTCGTGCATTATTTTGCTTCCCTTTTTTGTTCACCTTCGTTTCTTGTGCACAGCGTTCGGAAAGACGTGGGAGGTATAGTTACACGGGAACAGTGGGCGTCCAACTAGTTAGTTCGGCCTTCGTATCAGAACGCCATGTCCTTTGCAACTTTCATTAATAAATTAGTCATAATTATTAATCGAGCCACACCGCATGGCTCGCGCCAGCCATCTCCTCCGCCTCGGAGGCATTAAATCCCGGCGTGGATTGCCTGGTCTCATAAAATCCAGGCTTCGGCCACGCCGCGACCTCGCGCAAGCGCGTCCCCCCACCGCGCCACAGCCACCCATCCCATTCGAGCACGCGCACGCCCGGGTGCGGCGGCGAGTCGTCCGTCAGCAGCACCCACAGCGCGCCGTCCTCCGCATCCCCGGGGTCGGTCTTGGCCAACAAGTCAAGTGCGTGCGCCTTCCCGCCCGCGGTCTGCGCTTCGTACCGCTCGACGAAGTACGGGTTGTTCTCGCCCTCGCCTGCGAACATGCCCTCGGCGTCGAGCCGCCACACGCCGATCCAGCCGGATGTGGCTGTCCCGCTCTCGCCCTCGCCGCCACTGCCGCGCGTCGTCGCGAAGATGCTCTGCGGCGCGGGCTGCTCTGCGGTCGGCGGCGCGAGGAGGAGCGTGTCGCCGCGGAATGCAGAGCCGTCCGCACCTCGTAGGTGGAGCGGGACGAGCGAGCGCGAGGCGACGTACGTGAGGACCGGGGTGACGCCGTTGGGTGGGCTGATCGTGTACACGTCGAGGTAATTCGCTGGAGGAACGCTATAAAAGAAGGCGTGCGAGAGGAGGGGAATGAGACGCACAGTGTTCGGTGACGCAGTAGAGCACACGCCCATTCGGGTGTACTTTGACGTGCCGGGGCCCGTCCTCCTCGCCTATTACCGGCTCGCCCGGGCGCTGCGGCGCGGGGGAGGTATCGATGTGGTTTAAAGACCCGTCCGCGGCGCGGGTGTAGACCTCGATCGTTGACCCGCCGAGCACAGGAATGAATGCGAGCGCGGGCGAGTCTGCGGGGAAGGCAAATTCGATTCCGTGCGAGCCGTAGCGCTGCATTCAGAGCGCTTAGTGTCGACACGTAACAATAACCCAAAAACACGTACCAGGGCTTTGCGCGTCTTGTCCGCTGCGGCCCACTCGCCTTGGGGAACAAAGTATATTTCCTGCACATGGGGCCCAAAGCCGGGGTCGTCCAGTGCGTGCACTTGAGCTGAGGGCCCGCCAGCGGAGTAGATGTGCGAGTACGGCGGGGGAACGGTGATGTAGGATGAGGTTGCGGCTGTAGTGGACATTGGTATCGTTCAGTAAATGAGGGGGGTAGGACGTACTGATATCCACACTGTCCACAAACCGGACACGCACGCCCTCCGGCTGCTGCTCGATAGCCCAGCTCTGGAGTTGCGGAGGCAGCGCCCAACTCGTTGTGTACGCTTTACGTACATCCACACCATGTGTACGAGGACCCAGGCCAATGTACTGGTGAGGTCCAAAGGCAGGGATTGTCTGCACCAGATCGACGGTGAGCTGGAGCGGGGAGAAGGCGAGGAGAAAGAGCGAGAGTGAGCGGAAAGAGCCGGTCAGGATGTGGTGGACCGGGGAAGCACTGGAGTTGAGCGCTTGCTGGAATGGTACCTGTAGAGGCGGTTCGAGATCCATAGCTACGCTGGATTGGGATAGAGCGGTTGTTTGGCCGTGCTTTCTTGTAATTTGTGTTAACGCGCGGCCAAACAACAACATTGCTCCTTTTCGTTTACTACTCACTCCCCTCTCGGTTTTATTGGGAGAAAATCGGTGCCCGCCTCCGGTTCGGACTTTCTAGGACTTCCGACTCGGACTCAGACGTCGCCTTCATTTTGTCTTGATCAAGCCCAAGCTGTTGATAGGGATCGACGAAACCCGGCGCACACACCCGATTGGGAAGGGCGGCATTCGGAATCAAAGGCGGCACATCACGGCACATGTGCCGTCGCATGTGCCGCGGTTGTTTTGGCCTCCATCCACGGAGCGAGGTTAGGGGTTTGGGTTGAAAGTTTGGGAGGTTAGAGGTTAGAGGTTAGTGGGTTAGAGGTTAGAGGTTAGTGGTTAGTGGTTGGTAGTTAGAGGTTAGAGGTTAGGATTTTTTGGTTAATGTTAGGGTTCAGGGATATTGTAATGCTGTTGAGGTAGGTGGATATAACGAGCAGCTATATTCCGACTCTGTAAATCTGTATGGGCGATATACTGTGCAAAAATTAGGCCCATTTTACAGGGTTTTTGAACGCACGTTACAATGAAATTTGTTCAGTTGGATGACATCTCGGACTTCTGGCTGACAACTTCTACGCGGTTGACATCTCTTTGGTTCGTTACATCTCGATAATTGGTCACATCTTGAGAATTAATCATCACTGCTGATCCCATCAGTTCAACTCCCAGCATTTGGCGGCCTTTCAATAAACTTGAGCTCAGGGATTTATGAATATATTGAGTCACTTCGGATAGAGCTTCATACGTTCTTAGGACCGAAAATCGTTATCCTATAACAAAACCTTCACAAACGGGTATACAATGCGCAGAAATGGCTGTGCTCAGGCCCATGTTTTCGTACTTACTGCTGGCATGATTCAAATTGCTAGATTCTCCTCGAAGGTCAATCCATTCGCTCAAATAACCGTCTTGAGTTGTTTGGGATGAATTCCAGGTGCTCTCGGTGTCAGATTGTCAGAAATTGGACCCATTTCTCTTTATGGATCTCGGCATGGGATCGAAATCAATGTTCTGATCACTACCATCAATTTTGACGAACTTCCACAAGACGAAGTCCCATTGAAGTCGTAAGGAATCGACCCTCAAATGTAACCAAGTAATGTGTTGTATCCAGGGATGGCTCTGCTCAATGATGTCTGCATTGAGAAAGTTGTCATCTGCTTGCCAAGCTGTAAGCCAATTCCCTGTTTACATTGAAAGTTGTAAACCAATAATTTTTGCACACTATATGTGCCATAAATCTGCAAAACGGCGAGATTCATGGCTATCAAGCGCGGCACTTGAACACATCAAACCTGGCATATGTCAATCAATGCCGCTTTTGATTTGTAGTGCCGCCCTTCCCAATGAGTTGTGTGCGCCGTGTTTCGTACATCCTCGCTGTTGATCAGTGTTCAACGTGATCAACAGCGGCGGCAATATATTCTTCTTCCCATACCAATACAAAAATGGCGCTGCCTGACGTGCCACGTCAGCCAGGTGATACCTCTTGACACTGCCCTCCGATGCTGCTTCTCGCATTTATTCAACACTATTATCTGGATTGGTCGCCTTTCGACGAGCCTGGAGCCACGCCCGGCTCAAATCAAGCTCAACATTCATATTTCCTCATGAAATTTCTCCTTGGTCCTTCGGAGCTCACTTGGATCTACTTGGAGCGGCTGCCATCAAGTTTCATCCGTGGATCGTTACATAAATAGTTGAAAGCTATAGGTGGGAATGCCAAAGACATCTAACAATGTGGGCCTTTTTGATTCGTATCAAACGTTCGTCATCGCTCTTGGATCCTCCCAGATCCACCCTTGGGAGTACGTTATGGACGACTTGAAGTAAGTGCTACTCAAACCCAGCGTGGAAATTCATGTCTAACTATGCATCAGTGTACAAGTCACGAAACTGATCCAGATCATGGGGGACCAAGTAGAGGTCTTGCGGCGAATAGACCAACGCCAGGCCGCTGCAGGTCTGTAACCAGACTACCCACATACCAGTTTCCGCTTACGCGACAAATTCCTAGATCTATCGCGAAAAGCGATACCGCAAGTTCCTGCCACCAGCACGAGCGCCTGGAATCCACTTCTCACCTCTTTCCTCACGGAAACGATCCACCCGAAGGTGGACCGCTGGCGAAGTGGCCTGGACACGCTTCTAGTCTTTGTATATCCGCCAGAATTCAGTTTGCTTCTTCCGCTGCTGACGCGCTTCCCACAGCTGGGATTATTCTCTGCGATTGTTACCGCCTTCCTTGTGGATTCTCTGGGCGCCTTGCAACCGAATCAGACTGCCCGAACTAACGAGCTTCTGGCGAATTTGACTGAAGTTATTATTGCGCTTAATCCCGGTCCCGGGAGGAATCTCAGTTTCTCGCTCCCAATCGCGTTTGAGCCAGACCCGAGTGATATACGTGTCAACTCATTTTACTCGCTCTCCCTCATTTTCAGTGTGAGTCTTGTTCGTCCCTGTTTATATTATCTCTAATACGCTGTAGCTATCTATCGCGGCGCTCGTCGTAGCAGGAAGGGGCTTCGTGAACATGATCCCATGGTCACGGCACAAGAAAGCGACGCTCCGATTAGCCGACATCCATCGGCGGTGGGACGCCGCAGAAAGAATACTACGCCCCGCGATTGAATCTTTACCCCAGCTCCTAGTGCTCCCCGTACTCCTCTTCCTCATAGGAATTCTGGACATGCTGATCTCGACGGTGCTTGAACTCCCACATCGAGCGCTCTTCATCCTCATCACGACGACTTTCTGCCTACTATTGATTGCTGGTCTTTGCTGTACGTTATTGGCGACGCTGATCGATGGAAGTTTGCATCCATCTTCGTCGATTTTCCAGTCGACACTCGCAGCTGTCATCCATTCAATTTTAATCACAAGATTGCAATCGATGTGGTCTAAACTGCAACCTCACCTATGGAGAGCCGTTGCACTTATTACGGGGAGCCATCCCTCCTCGGAAGTCAATCAAAACGGTTATCTGCCGGATGTAGGCGATTCTCTCGGCATATCTGACGAAACCATGCATAGCTACCACAGTATCGTACAAGGAACACATGACGATGACGCTCTGGAACAGGCAGCTTCTGCGCTTCTGGACATATTAAAGGTCCCATATCTGGGAACACGTAGGAGAAGCATGGCACATCACGAGCTGAAAACCCTTATTCACTTCCTTTCCCCCGAGGCCAGCTTTCGCAGCAACCGTA